TTTGTCTTGCAATTTTTCTACCTCGAGATTGACCCATATCCATGTTTCTAATCAGCCCGGATTCCAAGATGGCACTAGTCACTAGAGATACTAGAGGTAGGATGAATGGTGAATCCAAGCATGGCCGATCTTAGACATCCTACCCCCTAGCTTCACAAAAAAAAAAAGGTTGGTTGGACGCCAACCACACCCTACCTCCCAAAAGAAAAACGAATGGCTGGTGCTTCAAAAAAGCACTCTGAGCTCTGCAGAGGTCTCATGCTTTTCATCTGTCCATATGGCAGTGTGTCAAAACCTTGTACCCCTGGTGAACATCAAAATAGCTGGTAAATGGATGTTCATTCCCCTAAAAATGGTATTAATAGGTATTGATCCATACCCATATTGTCGGAAGTTTGACTTCTAAACTTCCTTCGATCAAACATTCATATCTATGGTAAAGAGTAGGTTCAAACATAGGAGAGGAGAGCTTTGGACATTACTCTTCTACCATCAGGTAACCCAACGTGGCAATGGAAAATCCCCCCATTTACAGTATAGTTGATTTTCCCATTAAAACGTCCATAAGGAATTGTCCAGCCAGCCACGTGGCTGATTACCAGAGGATAATCCGCCTCGCTAGGCGCTTGGAACCTTGGTTTGAGGGCCTGCTTTTCCCATGACTTTCCATAGATGGATGGAAAAATGCGGTGCAAATGGGGGCAACCTTGAAATGACCATGAAATAAGGAAGAAACGAGAAACCACTGAGAACTTCGGACCAAAATGAAGATATCATTGGCAACTGGATTATAATGGTAACCATGGCTGGTAAAACCATGTAAAACTCTACGTATTCATGGGGGTTCTCATACATGCCGGGAACCCCAAACAACAGAAAAGAGATCGTGGTTCCCCAACCAACCATAAAAGATCAAGGGTTTCAGGAGCCCAAAGTTATGGTTGATGCTGGTGGTCATATTGTTGGAGGGCTACCGAGGACGGCTTTTTCTTTGAACTTCACTCTTTGGTAGTCTCGGATGGCAATGGAAAGCCACATCTTGAACGGCAACATCATTTGCAGAGAGGATTTTCCAGCTGTCAAATAACTGGAGGGTAAGGAAGTGTCAAACTGGCCTGTGCCCCTTGGTTATTGAGCCACAGGAAATGATGAATAGAGAATGAATAGGGACTGCAATCGCAACTAGCTTCGCATTTAAAAAGTCTATATCCAAGTGTAGAAACTCATTTTCGGGACCCCGTTTCGAGGGTGCATTCATATTTAAATAGATACCCATCAAATAATCCCATCAGTACTTCGGTGTGCAGTTGAGGTTGCAAATTTGTATAATCATGGTTATAAACCCTCCATAGCTTGGGAGATGGCCTATAACTATCATTATGTACCCACTTATAAATGAAACTGCACTTGCAAGATCTTCCAAGTGTAAATAGCAGTGGATATATAACATTATATAACCATAGTTATAAAGATCGCAACTTATGGATACTCATTGGGCCTAAAATGCCATGGTTACCCAATCCCTGAGGCTTCCCACCGGCGCCGGCAGAGGCACCGGAGCTGGGACTGCCTGAGGGGTTTGACCTCGAAAAAAAGTCGTCGCCGAGTCCAAGGGATGATGCGAACTAAACAAGGGAATATCATGCGATATACCACCAAACAAGGGGAATATCATGGTATATCATGGTATTTTATGTGAGGATGTAGAATGGGATATAACGGGATATTGACGGGATATAACAGGATATATACCCTCTGGTGAACTAACATAGCAATGGAAAATCACTATTTTTAATGGGAAAATCCACTATAAATGGCCATTTTCCATTGCTATGTTAGTTCACCAGAGGGTATATATATACAACCAATACTAGATGATACTACTCTCCGACCCTCCGGTGTCCTGAAAAACGTTTTACTGGCTGGACAAATCCCTGAACTAAATAGAGGTTTTCGTGGGCAAACGATCTATAAATGGTGGATTGTCCATTGCCACGTTTCAAAAAACCACAAGCTAAGGCGTCTCACAGCTCTTGAATACCGGACCCCAAATAGATACCATTTGGGTACCAAGTTTCCATCTGGGGGGTTGTTTGATGTTTTCGATGACCGGGTGAAGGCATGAGAAAAGCTGATGCTCACGGATGGCTCAAAGGCCCAAAGGTATTGATCCCCAGATATTTTAGATATTTTGGGGCAACTGGACTTGAAGTAAGCGTTGAGTGACTGGATACCCTCTGGTAATTTAACGTAGCTATTGAAAATGGCCATAGAAATAGTGGATTTTCCCATTGAAAATGGTGGATCTTTCCATAGTTATGTAAACGTTTACCAGAGGGTAACTCAGTCATCCATAGCAATCCCTTGGTATCTCCGTATCTCTGAGTCCATTCCAATGGATAAACTTTTGGTACCCCCAGTAACCCGAGCTGAGTGGCTGGATGGCAAGCTCTTCTTGAACGCCTCCATGTCGCAAGGCGGGCCGCAAGGTGTCATCAAACATGGCAAACTGGGAAATCCCTTATAAATGGGCACTTAAATGAGAAGGCATCTATCTATATATATATATAAATCAAAAATCGGCTGTGAAAACCGGCTTAGGATGTACATCCCAGTTAGTACATGGTGAATAACCGGGCCGTATCACCTATAGTAATAAATGGTAACCACAGTTAAATCAGTGGGTTCTTTCATCCACTTACTAAATGGGATGCACCAGCAATAATATGGTTGAATTACGAGAAGTCCTCATCCCAAAATATGGCAATTTCAGTGTAGCTACCAGCCAAAGTCTGGTTTTAATCCGCCAGATTTACTTGGTTTAACCAGAGCCAGGCGAGTGTGCAACGGTTGATTTGGACCATGGTTTAGCTTTGTGTGGAATCAACAAGACTCGCTTTTCTTCGACAGATAGTCACCATTTTTGGGTAAGTTTGCCTCATCAAATATGGGAGATTCCAAAAACTCTGGGTTCCATATTATGGGAGAGTTTGGGAATATCTCCCATCAAAAACCCTGGTTTTCCACCATCATATTTCATCATATGGACTTCTATGGTTCCACGGCCATTGTTATAACACCATTACA